CTTAGGGTGTGGTGCTCATCTCCATTCCTAAGCCAAAGAGCCAGCATCATCCGAGGACCTCTCTGGTGGTCATGTGGCCAGCATGATTGCGCTGAATGCTGTTACCTTCCTGCCAAAGTCGTACCTATCTATCTACTTGCATTTGCATGCTTTTGAACTGCTAGGTTGGCCGAAGCTGGGACTAGTGACAGCAGCTCACTCCATCATGCAGCTCCCGGGCCTCGAACTGCCAACCATCTGATCTTCTGATCATCAGAATTGGCATCTTAACCACTAAGCCACCACATCCCTTTTTCCTTTATAAAGTAGGACAAATAGTCACTAAACATAGGCAAGGCAAGGGGAGATGAAGCATCTCTAGCCCTGTTGATTCAAGCACTTTTCTCTACAGCCACAGAGATGTACTCCTGGCACCAGAGCCAACTGAAAGAAGAATACTTGCATGAGAAAGCACAGGAAATAAATTGTTTTAGCTCCCTACACACCCCTTTTATTGTAAAACACAGCCACCCCCTCACGTCCTGCTTGAGATGGCGATCATGGCACAGCCAGACGTCAACAAACTTAGCAGCCCCATTTTTAACTCAAAATTCCACATAGTAAAATGGAATGCTTACAGACGAAGAAAGGCAAGTACAAACCTGTCATCTGCGCAAGATGGGACTCTGGTATGGAAAGCATTGTCGTATGCATTCCAACCACCAGGAAATATTGAAACTAAATTAGTACCCTCCTTTGTAAGCAGCAATGCTGTTTTTGCCCCCGCATGATAAACTTCTTTAAATCAAGACAATTTAAAACAATTTAAATCAGCAAAACAAAACGGGCTATTTAAAAACAGAGCTTCCTTTTGATACTTTTTCATGTCATTTCCCACACAATGGTATAAACCTGATTACTAAAGCATGCTAGCTTACAACTGCGCTAGTACAGTAGGTTCTTGGTATCTGCTGCTCCTGTGGATATCAAAATCCATGGGTGCTCAAGTCCCATTAAATACAATAGCGGAGTAAAATGATGTCCCTTATACAAAATAGCAAAATCAAAGTTTGCTTTTCAGAATGTATTTGTTTTTTGAATATTTTCAAGCTGTTGATGGTTGTATCTGTGGATAAAAAAATCCATGGATATGGAGGGCCAACTGTATTTACTTTATGCAGGAGGGGATACTTTTTAGTAATTTAGGTAACTTCCCACAGTATGTAATATGTTACATAATACACAGCTTAAGAGACATGCTCAAGATCCAGACATATCTATGATGATGGAGCTCTTTATGACAATGCCACAGTCCTCAAACCAACCTTTTCAGCATGGCAGTGCCCCAGCCGAAGGGCTTCGGAGGTGCTGCAGATTGGGGTGCTGGGAAATGATATCTGCAGCACACTCTTGGTCATGGGGTGCACTGAGAATAGGTACCTGGAGTAATCCCTTGGGTTCCTGTTGCAACTGCTTGTCTCAAGGCATCCCACCAATGATAGAAACCTGCAGACAGCATTTCCCAATGCCTCGATATGCAGCATCTCAGAAAATCTTTTAGTTGGGACAAACCAGGCTGAAAATGTAGGTTTTTAGAGTCACATTTGATCACTAGCAATCCCATAAACACAAATCCCCAGCAGTTATGAGATGGTTAAATGCATTTTATTATTGTAAAACTACTGAACCAGCTGAAAGCCCCTGGTCACCCATAGAACCCTTTCTGTTCTTTTGCCAAGTACTCATCAACAAAAGACAGAGCTTTCTACAGCACAAGAAAAAAGGACTTTTCAGTAGCCTTCTGCCCAATGGAAACCCCTTTCTAACAATCGATGCATGGCACGTACAATGGGGGAAGGCCTTCAAACAAGGCTTTCATCAAACATCTCTGATCTAGACTGCTTTCCCCCCTGAAAGTAATGCTAGCACAGATCTTACCAATTGTTCTGGTAATTTATCGACACACTAAAACACAAATCTCTTCAGAATATTTTGGTGATCACTGAAAAACAGAAGAAATTTTTTATAGTTCTCCTTCAAAAGTTCTGAACTAGAGAACACATTGTTGTTGTTGTTGTTGTGTGCCTTCACATAATTTCTGACTTATGGAGCCCAGCATGGCATAGTGGTTTGATTGTTGGCCTACGACTCTAGAAACCAGGGTCCAGTTCCCAGCATGGCCATGCTCTCAGCCTCAAGGGAAGGCAATGGTTCGAAAAGGGATACCTCATCACTTCCGAGCAATAGTTTGGCAGCTTTTGTGCTCAGCTCAAAATATGCCAATTAAGGAGCAATATTCAGAACTCTTGAAAATGACTTCACCCTCCCAAAAACTTGTAAGAAGGGGCATTGCTAGAACATACCCTGAACATGAGTTTTTTAAAGAAAAAGACAGCCTTGGACAAGAGGTTTTATTTAATGTAATGAAGGTAAGTTAACTGGTTCATACCTTTAAACAAAAAACAAATATTTAGCATTCACTTTGCTTTCATGGCGTAGTGGTTTGAACATTGGAGTACGACTGGAGACCAGAGTTTGATTCCCACTGGGCCATAAAACCTACTGGATGACCTTGGGCAAGTCACATGCTCTCAGCCTCAGGGGAAGGCAATGGCAAACCTCCTCTGAACAAGCCAAGCAAACCCCATGATAGGTTCACCTTAGGATTGCCAGAAGTTGGAAACAACTTGAAGGCACCACCACAACAACAGCAAATTTATCACAGGGTTTTCTTCAAAAGAAGGGGATTGCTTTTATCTTTCTCTGAGGTTGAGATAATATGACTTGCCTGAGGTCACCTAATCTGCATCTACAGTGCAGAATGAATACAGTTTAACATCACTTTAACAGCGTGCTCAATGTTATGGAATTCTGAGATTTGTAGTTTTGTGAATTATTTAGCCTTCCCTGTCAGATAGCTCTGGTCCAACAACAAACTACCAGTCCCAGGATTCCAGAGGATGGAACCATGACAGTTAAAGTGGTGTCAAACTGCATTAATTCTGCAGCATGGCAACAGCCTTAGTAGATTTCATTGACTGAGCAGGGATTTGAATCCTGGTCTCCAGAGTTGTACTCTAATGCTCAAGCCACTATACCATGCTGGTTCTGGTGAACACAAATATATTCTAATGTATGCATGCATCTTTCTGGGTATTATATATATTTCTTGATTTCCCTGAGCTGTAACAGGAAACAACAGGGCTCCAAATTCCTGTATTTTTGCTTACTATTAAATCTGACATATGATAGATCTTCTCATGACTTAATGAGGTTAATGGAATCCACACATTAGAATTCACTGCTTTTATACCAAAACTTAGAGTGAATGCATTTGATCCAAGCTGAGACAGCTGAACTGAACGGATATAAAGGAGAATGAACAAGTCTTACAGGGGAAAGCACCATATAGATTTCCCAGTAGGTAAAGCAGTAAAGTCAGATAATGGTAAAAAATCTTTCCAAGAGTTCAAAAAAGAGTTTTTCTGCAGATTCTTCTCAGAGCACCTAGAAAACCTTTACATATTTGCTATTAAGCTATGAATAAGAATAAGACTGCCACAAACAGAAATGAAAGAAGCACTTTGATAACTGACAGTAAAGTCCACTCTTCACCCCTTGATGCAGTCTGAAATGCCATTAGCTCTAGATATAACAATTAATGGAGCAGCCACCTAAACTAATGCTAGCCTTAAAAATGATCTCCCCTTCCTTCCAGATTTCATGGCCTTCAGATAATACTTCACAGAATCTGATCTAAACCTACAGCTTCACTTTATACCAGTCCTGCCCTATTGCTCTCCCATAACAAGAAGCCAGTAATATTTCTGAAGTGGGGCAGTGGCAAATCCTTTGAGTTCTAGGCACAAACACATTAATCAAATCATAACGAAATATATCAATCTGAAAATCCACTGGACAAAACATGCATTCAGCTACAAGTATCACTAACCTACACTGACTTCATCTCCTCATGCCACAAAATGCAGTAACAGCTACATCACTGCAGTTAAATTCTTAACCAGTTTATTTTTAATAGTAAAAGGTGTGTATTTTTTGGTATAAGACTTTGCTGAGATAGGTTGGTATAGTAGTTTCAGTGTAGGACAAGACCAGGGCTGAAATCAGAGGAATACTATGGCAAGCCTCCTCTGAATAAATCTTGCCAGGAAAACCCCATAATAGGGGATTTGTACCAAAACTATGAAAGGGAAGTGCCTGAAACCTGGCATAAATGTTAAGGGGACTCTAAGAATGAGCACCTGGAGGTTGTTGGGGTTTTAAAAACACATACGGTACATTTTAGTTAATTTAGATATATCCATGTGTTTGAAGCCTATAGTGCCATCTTCAGTCATTGGATGTCTAACTACAATCATTACACTTTGAAAATAGAAAGGAATAGTTCAAGGGATAAAATTATAGAGCTGCCCTCTACCCCTACTATATGACAGATCCTCTCAAGGTTATAGAACTATAGCTCCCTCCTTCAATGGACTCTACTGGTGCATCATGGATCCCAGTCCACATGGTTTTATTCAGTGCCTATGGCTTCAATTAGGAAATGCAGATAATTTCCAACTGACAGCGAGTGTAACTTTTCTTGAAGCCTTCACTGTGTCAAATTAAGGCCAAAACAACTTAGGTGAAGCCAGGTGCTTTCACTACCTTTAAATATAATGTTCCATCAAACTGTGTTGTCATTCTGAGACACCAATGCCATATATCATTAAATGAGGTGTTTACAAGACAATTATAAACATGACACTTTTTTTGCAAGTGGGAAGAAATTTCAGAGAAAATGGAATAGTAAAGACCCAAATGAAGGTTTTAGACTTCACAGTATTATAATATTTCCAATTATCATTGGAAGGCTTGAAAAATATGAAACGGGTCATTTTACTGTATTACAAGATGGGCAGGCAATTTTAATATGCAGTAGCAACCAGTTTTCTATTTAAGAAGGAGAACAATTATTACAGATGTAATTTAAAGAAACAAGCTAAAGGTGTTCAGAAAGAGGCAGCATATTGTAGTGGTTTGAGCATTGGACTAAGACCCTGAAGACCAGGGTTCGATTCCCTACTCAGCCATGGAAAGCCACTGGATAACCTTGGGGAAGTCACATACTCTCAGCCCCAGAAAACCCTATGATAGAGTCACCATAAGATGGAAACAAAAACATAATACAACATAATACAACAAAGGAGGTCAGAGAGTCTTAGTAGAAAATTACAGGAGTGCTAGATACCCTAAATATCCTGGATGACTTGTTAAACAACACGAAGATACCAGTTATTCCTTCCCCTATTCAACCAGTCAAATAAATGTTAAATAAATATATAAGTCAAATTAAAAAGTCAAATAAATATAAATTTTAGTAGTAGTAGTAGTAGTCGTCAACACAAGCGTTGTTTCTCTTTATTACTGTAATATTCAGTAATTTAAAATCCATTTAAACTAGATGGGGCTAAAAAGCAAAAATGAGCAACTGCACTGAGTCCAAGGGCCAATTTTATATTCCTGGCACATCAGACAGGTGGGCTGTACAGATTCCCAAAAATACCCAAACCAAACCAGAAGTGCAGGGGTCAGTCAGTCAAATTAAGAACAACAGGAAACATGTCCATTACAAAAGGCAAAAATAAAACCCTTCCCAGTATCAAAAACCTTTTTCCTATAAACAGCTGGTTCCAAAATGCCTGCAACAACAGCAACAATAATAAAATTAATAATAAATAATAAAATCTATTTGTATCCTGCCCCTCTGTCAAGCAATCGGGGCGGCTTACAGAAATTAAAATTCCATATAATATATTATAATACAATCCAAAAAAAACCCAAACCCACCCACCCCTTAAAAAGTATTAATCCAATATATCCATTAAAACATCTTAATTAAAACATCATAAGATAAACAATATACACGAGTCCCTCCCTGTTCGCAGACTTGCTGTCCACAGTTTTGATCATTTGCAGATAGCAAGGCAGGAGGGACAAAATGGCCACGTCGGCGGAGGGCGCACACACAACTGCGCGCGCCGCCATTCCCCCCCCCTCGGCCCAGCCGAGACCTGGGCTACGGGAGACCGGCCCAGGTCTCAAAAAGGTTGCCTACCCCTGCTCTACATCTATGTTGCTCTGTTGAACTGGAGTTGGGGCAACTCAAATGACCAAGAAACTGGCCATCTCATCTGTAGGGAGAAGAAAAATGAAGTTATTGCCTGTCTGAAAGAGCAACCTTTTTTCCTCTTCTTCTCAGTTGCAGCAAAGACACATGCAGCATGGTGCAAAAGTTACTCTGAGTTCCCTGTTTCATTCTCTGTATGATACAAACAGTCTCCCCATCCATTTATCGCATGCACATTACTATTTATGGAGATATGTGAAATGTTTTATACGCCTCTGTTTTAAAAATTCTATTGAAGGAAGCAGCCTTCAGAACAGGATGAGAAATGTGGCCTCCAGATGTTGCTGGATTGCAACTCCTATCACTCTCCACAGGCTATGCATGCTAGGGCAGATGGGAATTCAACAACTTCAGGAAGGCCACACATTACCCACTTCTATTTTAGAAGACTCATATAAGAGAGATGTACAATCCTAACCATATTTATTTGGAAACAAATCCACTGGTTTAAATTGCAATCTGCTTTCAAGCTATCTCAGCTTCAGATTAATACACTGCTAGTAGTACCACCCACTCCTCCAATTTTAGAGGAAAAAAATCCAATAATTGGGGAAAATTCCAAACCTATTATTTTCCCCCACTTCTTTATTTCCTTTCCCACAGTCTGCTAACACTAATGTAACCACATTTTTAGGAATGGGTCAGCATAATAGTCCTAACACTTAATCTTTAGAAATATTATGCTTTCTTGGTTTTTCCACCAAGTACTGTGTTGCTGATATCCAGTAACAGCACTGCAGCAGCTAGTAACAGTCTAAAAGCAAGTGGGAATCTACACCAGTAATCTGGTCTGAAGTTGATTCTCCCATATTGAAACAAATAAGCAAACAAACAAAACACCATTTACAAGAACTCCAGTACTATTTTAATCAATTCTACACAAGGCTAAAATGCATTTCAGCCTGTTTTCAGCCCTTGTTCTTCTTACAAGTTATAGCTGGGATAAAAAGGACCACTTTTTAAATCTAGTTTCCTCTGGGGGGTGGTGGTTGGGAGGGGG